TCCTGATATCTACATACATATGCATAAATATATTCTGATTTTGAATAAAAATCCTATGTTCTTAAAAATTGATTTTTGTCATATGTATGCATGGTATCATTACTGCTTCTCCCAAACAGTACAATGATCTATATTTAGGAAAATCTTGTCCAGATAGTTTTCTTTATCTTTAGTGTACCCACAACAATGTTATGTGTTTCCTGTATGCTTTCTTTTATCTCCATACAAATACTATCCATCCTGCTTTTAAGATAAATTTCTTTTCTACATAAATGGATAATATCTTGGAGTTCAGTGCTAGAATTCTGTGGTCTTCTCCTTTTTTAAAAAATGTTATTTTCTAGCTTTGCACTGCTAACCTTAATTAGTTTTAAAAACTTGACTGGTATTATTGGAGATTTTTCTGTACCCACACATTTCAAATTTCCTATGTTGTCAATATATAGTGCTCTCCTAGCCGAATCCAAAATATTAGATCTGAATCTTTCAGAATTTAGAGAACTCACTTAAAGTAGGAACATAACAATATTAATACAGTATTACTAGATTATTCTAAGAGCGTAAACAATGGTCAATAAAGTTTGGGATTCTTTAGTCTTTCATATTAACATGATCGAGTGTGTGTATATGTAACAAGCAATAGCAAATGTGTATCCTGAAGTTGCTGGGCTGGGGATCTGAGGATGAGAATGGTATATCTTTTAAAACAAGAAAAGGCTAAGAAGAAAAGGAAGCTTGATGATCAATTTCAGAAATCTGGCTATTGGCTTCAGTGGTCCTAGTTTAATTCTCCTATAAAACAATTGACTTTATTTTTAAGAGTTGCATTCCAGTTTTCAAGAGCAATGAAACCATGTTCATCCAGGATCAGGTTTCCAGGGCCTCATTTTAGAAACAAGCATAGCTCAAACCAGGCTGAGCTTAAGAGCATTCCATGACAAGCAACAGAAGCTTTGCAAACTATGGTCAGAAGGCACATTTCATGACCTTTAGCCTGACGAATAGTGTGTGGATTGTTGCTTTTTCCCCAGAGAAAGAGCACGTAGGAAACGTAAAAAAAGCAAGGTAGCAAAATTGTTCAGAACTGTTGTAGAAACTGTAGCACTCCAAATACACCTCCACAAGCAAAATTTTATCAAGTCTTTAGCACAACAATTCCCAAAGTTTTCCTCCTCCTTACTAGGACTTCTTGAGATTTCCAGATAGATATGCTGCCCCATGTTGATTTTAAGATAATGGACCAGTAGTGGTTTGAATTATGCATGTGTGGATCTTCTTTTCAAGAGAAGTGTTGTATACCCTTGCTTGACTATTCCTTCCCAGGACCCTATCCGGT